CCAATATGTAGAATTTCATGGGCCTTGAAAGCAGTCGCTGGGAGCACTACCTCATCTTCTTAGAGCATGTCCTCGGTGAAGGGGGTTTGTGTGTGCTCGCCCAGGTGATAGGCCTTCCCAAAGTAAAAATAATGACCGAGCAGGACTGAAGCCCAAGTCTGATTTGACAGCCTCAGATCTCTGGTCCCCAGGCATTGGCCCTTTCTGTTCCCTTTGCCTGGGTTTCTTCCAAGGACTGAGGTTTTTGCTGTAACTTCAGAGAAACTTTCTGACTTCACTATGCAGAAAAGTCCCACCTCCATAGACCTCTTGTTGTTGCCTTCAAAGGCCTGTCCATGGCTGTGTTGTCTACGTCTGTGCTGCTACAACACTGTGATGTGTCCACACCAAGAGCTCCCAGCCCCAAGGCCCCTTCCCTGTGACTGTGACTGTCCTCCCATTGGACATAGGCCCCGTGTTCCCTCCCCTTGAATCTGGACAGGCTTGTGAACACCACAAAGGTGACACAACGGAACTCAAAGGTTTGGTCATAGAAGGTGACCCAGTTTGGCCTCACGTGCTCTTGGGACCCAGTCAGCCCTTAGAGAGGCCCCAGCCCCCGCTCACCTCCAGCCAACAGCCAGTCAGTGCTCTGACAGCCCTGGGGGGGGGGGGCGCCGCCTTGAAAGCAGATCTGCCACGATCCCATTGGACCATCCCAGCTGATGCCACGTGAGTCAGAGAGGAATCTTCCATATCAGTCCTCGTCATCATTTAAATTTCTGAACAAATAGTTGGTGGTGTTTGAAGTCAGAGGTCACGTAAACAGCAGCCCACAGGCCAAAGCCAGTCACTGTTTTAGATAAAGTTTTATTGGAACACAATACATTTGCTTACAAATGCCCAGATGGCTGCTGCTTTGCCCTGCAGGGTGGAGCTGGCAGTTCTGACAGACTCTGTGTGACCACAAAGCTCAAACATTTACCGTGTGGTCTCTTTCGGAGAGAGTCTGCCAGTCCTGTTTGAAGCCACCGTGTTTGGGGTGGTCTGTTTGCCACACAGCAGAAGTAGCCAGAACAGAGGGTCCATTTCTTACAGAAGAAAGCACGTGTGAGTTACCTGCGGTCATTTCCCCTGTGCCTGGCACACAGTCAGTGAGCAGTGCATTTCCTCCTCACAGCTGAGGAACCAGTATTGCTCACCCAAGTCCTTGTCCCTAAGCTGCCTCGTCCCGCCGAGCCCCTGGACCCCTGAGGTCAGGTCCCCCCTTTGCCACACCAGTTAGTGCTGGGCTCCGGCCCCTGCTGACCAACAGCAGTTACAGTCCAGGGCTTTCCCTCCAGATTTGTGGAGAAAGCCTGGGAAGCCAGGAAGTCACACAGTCTGCATGAGTGGTTGGCTTCAAAACCAATTAGCTTTGTCAACTCTCTCTCAAATC